AATCTGCTCCGACCATTGGTGACTCTGAAGCAAGCCTAGTATCGGTTGATACGCGAAGATTGTCGAGCGACGGTCGTAGGTCAGGGTGGTTCGGTTTGGTGTTGTCAGGCAGGGCTTGCTGAGCCCAGTTGACGAGAGATCGGAGGATTTCAACCAGAGCCTCGAGAGACTCCTGCTTCATTGCATATTCTTGAGGGTAGCCATGTTCCGTGTCGTGTGATGAGTTCATGGAGACGGTCGTCAGTGATGGTGGTAATGTGCCTCGGCTCTGCCAATCCATCTGTCTTGATTGCTTCTCTCTTTGGTCCTGGTACGCTTGCTGTTGCACAGGTGTGATGGTGACGGGGTTGCTGGAGATCTTGGACAAGTGTTCGACGACGCGTTGGAACATGTTGTCAAGTGCGGTGCGATCGCAGTCATAGTTGAGATAGATCTCTACCAGTGCTCGGGGGTCTGCAGCCAGCCTTCCGAATATTGTCAAAATGTATTGCTTCTGGAATGCAGGAGCACTCCGCTTGTCTAGAGTTGCAAGGTAGATTTCCTTCAGGAACACCTCGACTTCCTTTTTGAGTGATATGCGCAGGTATTTAAGCATCTGCCAGAAAATCTCGCAGGCAACTTCGAAGACGTGCTTCACGGAACTTGCACCGTTCCGGCTCAGGCTCAAACAAAGATACTGTTTGACTGCCTGTATGAAGCTCGTTGGCTCGTCGCTGCCACTGCGGATAGTGGCATATGGCGACACGAATACAGCAATATTATTGAAAAGTATAGTGTGAATCATGTGCAGGGAGAGAAGCTTTGAGCGCATGCCTTGGGACTTCACATCGTGGGCATGGTCCACTGACAGACCTTTTGTGCTCAGACGGCACATGGCTCTGAAGACGAGGTAGGCGTCTTTGACAAATATCTCATCTTCCTCCTCCTCTTCGGTGTTGACATGAGGCGAACCCTCTTGACCGGACACATGTCGTGAACCAGCTTTGCCTTTGATGCGAGTCACCAGCGTTGGCGCATTATCGTGTATACGGTCGTCGTTGAAGCTCATGTTGTTTTCGAAGCTTTGCAGCGTGATCTTGGGTCCAGTGTGTCGATCGACTGCCTTGTCGCTCGGTTCGGCGTTTTCGGCATCGTGCTCGTCCTCTGCATCGTCGCCGTTGGCCTCGGATCCGGTGATGTCTTCTGCGCTGCCCTCCTCGGGCTGTACACTCTCACTTGATTGCCCCTTGTCATTCAAAGATGAACGCGACAGGTTCATGCGAGCCTCCTTGATAGAAAGTCTCGTCTTGACCCTTTCGAAGACTGTGCCAACCATTTGTGTCAGTGCACCCTGTGCTACTTGTTGGTTCGCGCTTGACTTGGAAAGGAGGAAGATGTTGTACGTGAGTCGCACAGCCTTCAACAATCCTGCTCCGTGTACAACGATCTTGTCGTTCAAGATAGCTGCCAGCAGCGACTTGACGATCTGGAGTTGGACTTCGGGCGCAGTGGCCTCGCCTTGGAAGCAATCGCATATCGTGTCTATGGCTCGTTCGATCAGAGGAGGGGCCTCGCTGTTGTCGGCTCGCGGCTCGGCCGGCACGGAGAAGTAGGAGTAGCTGATGAGCTTGCCGATGCAGTCGAGCGCGGTGATGGACACGGGGACGTTGGGAGCCTCGGAGGCAAGTTGGAGGGGTTCAAAGAGGACCTCGGGGTTGATGCGCGCCGGGTCGCCCTCGTTCTTGATTGCCGACAAGGCGGCATTGGTGCTGTCGCCCAGTTTCTTGTTCTTCCTGGCATCTTTGGACGCTGCGATTGTCTCGAGCGCGGTGACGACGAAGACGAGGGAGCTTTTTGTGGATGGTCGCGTGGCCGTAGTGGCTGCCGTGGACTGCGAGTCGGTTCGCGGGCGGTTCTCGATCGGCAGGCGGTGGTCGAAGATCTGCTCGGATGATCGCGGCGCGTCTCCTCCGTTGGGGACGTGGAGGACTGGTGTTCCGGGCGCAGGTGTCGATGTTTCCGCCTCTTCCCGTGGAGCTTCGGGCGCTGGGGACGACGTATCCTCGGCGTGCTCTGATGCCTGCTCTGACGCTTGCTCCGACTCGGCGTCTGAGGAGTCGCTCTCGTCCTCCTCTTCTTCTTCTCGTGTGTCTGCGGCAGGTGCATCTTGCTCCTCCATGTCGGGCTTTTCCATGTCCTCACGGGGCGCTGGCGGGGGTTCGGTGTCGGCCATAGTTGTTCACGTCCGGGATGTTTGTAGGAATGTCACTTCCTCAGCAACCATGGCGGAGAAGGAGCGATTGGAAAAAGTGAGGGCGCGGCAGTGGTGACTCGGACTGGCGCAGTGCAGTGCAGAGCAGCGGACAGCGGGCGAGTCTGTGCAGGCGTTGAGCGAGTCGTGCTCTGAGATGACACTTTGTGTCTTTCCTCCTGGCTAGTTACGTACCTGGGACCAGCCGCGCGGTAGGCTAGGGTACTGCGGCGCCACACTTGCACCTGCCCCAGCCACAGCCCAGCGCCACACTTCGCGTCCTGCCGGGAAATGTCGCATCCAGCATAGACCCTCATCGGGAGAGAACGCTAGTCGCCGGGTCTCCAACCAGCTGCACTAAACTTTTCGTTGAACAGTCTTCCATCTCCTCCAGCCCTGACCGCTAAGCGCCTGAGCCTCCAGCTCGCTCACCTCTGTCTGCCTGTCGCCCTCGCCCGACAAGCCCGTCTTCCCCCATTTCACGTCGCTTGGAGTAAAATCTCAGCGCCCGGCATCCCAACACAATGCCCGCAACCACAACTCTGCTGTCCCGGGCTGGGAGCCAATTGAGCTCGCGGGGGTCAATTGCCCTGCGCGGCGCCCTGCCCACCTCGAGATGCTCCGCGTACGTTAGCTTCACTCCCGCGTGGCATTGCCCACAATCCTCCGACGAGCATAGCTGACACGCACGTATACAGACGCACACCAGCCCTGTCCGCGCTCGCACGCTACTATGCCTCCAAGTGTGAGCACTCCCACCGCGTCCCTCGCGACTAGATACTCCGCTGGCCTTCGCATTGCTAACGCAGCCCGCAGCCTACCCCTCGCACAGCGTTATCAGCATGCCCGCCCTCTCCCCAACCATGACCGCCGGAAACATTGGCGCATGGCAGAAGAAGGTTGGCGACTCAATAGCGCCCGGTGACGTCCTCGTCGAGATCGAGACGGACAAGGCACAGATGGACTTTGAGTTCCAAGAGGAGGGCACCATCGCCAAGATCCTCCGCGACGCTGGCGAGAAGGACGTCGCTGTTGGAAGCGTAAGTCGAGGTGCACAAGCTTTTGAGGATGCCATGCTGACTTCCGCAGCCCATCGCTGTTATGGTCGAGGAGGGCGAGGACGTCTCCGCATTCGAGAGCTTCTCCATTGAGGACGCCGGTGGTGACAAGAAGGCCGACACTCCCTCCAAGGAGGGCAACGCCGCCGAAGCCAGCGAGCCCCCGAACACTGGCTCCAAGACTGCTCCCCCCGCCAAGGAGGAGTCTGCGCCCGCCGCCATCGAGTCTGAGTCCACCGGCGACCGCCTAGAGACCGCTCTCCAGCGCCAGCCCGCCGTCTCCCCCGCCGCGAAGAAGCTCGCGCTCGAGAAGGGCGTCCCGATCGGTTCCATCAAGGGCACTGGAAAGGGCGGCCAGGTCACCAAGGAGGACATTGAGAAGTACAAGCCCGCTGCCGGTGCTGCCCCCGCTGCTGGCGCCTCCGCTGCCGCGTACGAGGACGTCGAGGCTACCAGCATGCGCAAGGTCATTGCTACCCGTCTCCGCGAGAGCATGCAGCAGAACCCCCACTACTTCGTCGCCTCCAACATCTCCGTCTCCAAGCTCCTCAAGCTCCGCGAAGCTCTCAACGCCTCAGCTAACGGCGAGTACAAGCTCTCGGTCAACGACTTGCTTGTCAAGGCTCTCGCTGTTGCCGCCCGCAAGGTCCCCGCTGCCAACTCATCCTGGCGCGAGGATGGCGGTAAGGTCATTATCCGCCAGCACAACACTGTCGACGTCTCCGTCGCTGTCTCTACCCCCGTCGGTCTCATGACCCCCATTGTCAAGAACGTCAACGGACTCGGCCTCCAATCCATCTCATCCCAGATCAAGGACCTTGGCAAGCGCGCACGCGACGGCAAGCTCAAGCCTGAGGAATACCAGGGCGGAACCATCACCATCTCCAACATGGGAATGAACCCCGCTGTTGAGCGATTCACCGCCGTCATCAACCCCCCACAAGCTTGCATCGTCGCAATCGGCACAACAAGGAAGGTCGCAGTACCAGGCCAGGCTGAGGATGGTACAGCGAGCGTTGAGTGGGACGACCAGATTGTCATCACCGGCAGCTTCGACCACAAGGTTGTCGACGGTGCCGTCGGTGGCGAGTTCATGCGCGAGCTCAAGAAGGCCATTGAGAGCCCTCTCGAGCTTATGCTATAATCTGATTCTATTTTCGGTGCATTTGGGACGACTGTGTAACTTTACTATTGGGCTAGATGAGATTGGATCTCAGGGACAGACGATCTTATGTACAGCGGATGGCGCGTTTTCTATCCCCCATGATCATTTGTCCAACTGTCGTATTGCATGATAACCCCTTGTATGAAAAGATATCTCCCTTCTTCGAATCGTTTTGCGTCTGTTGTTGCGTAGTTGATCACCCTGCACGCGCGGGCTAATGGTAAATCTAGACCGGGTTTCTCGCCTGGAACTCTTTCTGCGAACCGGGACGGTGGTAAGCTATATAGCCGGCACGTATATGCAGGACAGTGAGTGAACACCACAGCTCAGTCATCCCACACCTGCGAAGACCACATGCTCGTATAGCCCCACAGTCGAGGCATTGAAGGGGTGTGTGGGGAGCAAACAGGCTGCTTTACAGTGAGTGAGAGCGATAAGCGTATCGATGTGTCGTTGTGATGGCGGTGCTTTCCTATATTGAGTCCCATCGCGCCTGTAGCAACTCTACATCCTTTCCTCAAACACTGGCGTTCACAACTTCACCAAGATGTTTTATACCACTCTCTTCTTCTTCCTCTTTTCAGCAGCAACTTTTGCTATCAACTTTGATTGGGAGCGTGAACAGCTCACTGACGAGGATGCAGCTCGCAATGGCGCAGTGCGCTTTGGTAGTGCGGCACAAGCTGCGACGCCTGCTAATTGCAAGATCATCCCGGGTGACGCTGAGTGGCCGAGCGAGGACGTCTGGGACTCTTTCAACGATACGCTCGGTGGTGTGCTACTGAAGCCTAGACCGCTTGCCAGCGTCTGCTATACTGGGGAGGGCTACAATGCAGCGAGATGCGAACAGTACAAGAGTAACTGGGCGGGCATGAACCTACAGTGAGCTCACTCGTAACGAAACGACTCTCTTGTTGTGTCATTCTAACTACGACAGTACCGATGATCCCACCAGTATCATGTCCCAATGGGCATCCGGGAACGCATGCACACCAACCTCACAACCAAACTCAAACTGTACCCAAGGTGGTTGGCCAGAGTACGTCGTCAGAGCCTCTACTTTGAGACATATCCAACTCGCAGTCAACTTTGCTAGAAACCGGAACATCCGCCTTGTGATCAAGAACTCAGGCCACGACTTCAATGGGAAGTCCATCGGTGGTTACTCTCTCAGTGTATGGACACACAACCTCAAAGGCATGACGTATGATCCGAACTACACCTCACCAACTAGTTCGTATACAGGAAAAGCTGTTGCTTATGCCGCAGGTACTCAGGCTTCTGAGGGGTCTACACTAATGCGGCAGAAAAATATGCTCATGATTGTTGCAGGCGGTTCAACCGTAGGTATCGCAGGCGGCTTCCTTCAAGGTGGTGGACACAGCGCCTATACCAGCTACTATGGTCTGGCGGCAGACCAAGTGCTCGCCATCACTGCTGTCACAGCCGATGGAAGGGTAGTTGAAGCACATGAAGGGGAAAATGCAGACCTGTTCTGGGCTTTCAGAGGAGGAGGCGGCGGTAATTCTTCTCAGCAAGAAGAGAAATTGACTGTCACTGACAAAAGATCAGGCACGTTCGGCATCATCACATCCGTTGTCGTTAAAGCGTTCCCCGCCACAGCCGTTACGTCAGGCAGTGTACGTTTCTCAACGACACCAGACCGCGGATCAAGTGCGCCTCCAATCTCTGCAGAAACCTTCTGGGCCGGCATGCGTGCGTACTGGGAATTCTCGATCGCCATCTGTGACGTAGGTGGGTTGGGTTACAGCTTCATCTACCCAAGCAGTAGTAGCACAGGTCTTACCTTTACTGTCAGTATCTCGGTTCCCAACAAGACTACCACCGAATATCGGCAATTTGTCCGCCCATTGCTTCAGAAGCTCAATGATCTCGGTATCCAGCAACCTATGCCGACACTCAAACGCTCTCCCACGCCATCTTTTTCATATGAAGACGACTCCACAAACGAAGCATCGCCTCTCTCCAAAAGAGTAATAGGCGAAACAACAGGCCACACCCTAATAGCATCCCGCTTCTTCCCCCGCACCACCTTCTCCACACCCTCCACACTAGAAACCTCCCACCTGGCCATCCGCCACGTCGTCGAAAACGGTTCCCTAACCTTCCACGGCATGAACTACGCGCCCACTCTCTCCGTCTCCGGCAACCCAAATAACAGCGTTAACCCCGCTTTCCGCACCACAGTCCTCCACGCACAAGCCTACGAATCCAACGCGCACTGGGACGGCAAAGCACCCATCTTGTCGCATGAGGCGCTGACAGAAAGACACCAGAGACTGCAGGCGTATATGCAGGGGTGGCGGGATTTTACGCCCGGGAGTGGGAGTTATATCAATGAAGGGGATGCGCAGGATTGGGAGTGGAAGGATGCGTTCTTTGGGAGTAATTATGAGAGGTTGGCTAGGGTGAAGACGGAATGGGATCCTCAAGGTGTGTTTTGGGTGATTGGAGGCGTGGGGAGTGATGAGTGGGAGGTTAGGGATTTGGATGGGGGGAAGAGGGCGGGGATTGTCACGCAGGATGGGAGGTTGTGTAGGGTGGGTTGATGGTGAGGAGGGGAGAGGTACATGTCTGTGGGAGGGCATGGACTTCAGCTGTGCTATCTCGATAGATAGTGGTTAGATCTTCCAAAAGCCACTTTATCCAAGAATAGCTGCAACCTAATTATCATCAAGCATCATGGGAAGCTCATTGTCGCTCTCCGGAGGACGTCGTACCGCTACATCGGAGTCTCGGTGCCTTTGTTCCTCCGCAGTCTCACATCCGGGACGCCTTAACCACGGAAAACACCAGCGAATCGTACGCATTATGGGAGATGCACAAGAACCCTTTTGGAACAACGAGGGATAAGTCGGGAACTCAACAATAGGAGCAATAGATAAATGAATGGCAATACGCTATATGACCCATGCGTCACATCCCACCTTCCGACTATTTAGCCCCAACACTCCGACGCCTACTTTCCTACAACTCTTCCCTTTGATTTTTTCTGTTCCTCCTTGCAATCCGCGAAACCATGGCGCCTGACCCATCCCTCTCCTCCAAAGTCGTCCTCATAACCGGCGCAAACAGCGGCATAGGAAAAGCCACCGCCCTCTCCCTCGCCACCCTAAACCCAGCACAACTCTGGATCGCCGCCCGTAACGTCACAGGCGGCCAGACCGCCGTTGCTGAGATAAGAACTGCGGCACCAACCGTCGATGTTCGATTCGTAGAATGCGATTTAGCGAGTTTTGACTCTGTAGCAAGAGCGGCTAGGGAAGTGGTGGCAGGGTGTGGAGGGAGGTTGGATGTTTTGATGCTCAATGCTGGGATTGTATGTCTTCTCTTGATCTTTCTAGCTTTTGCTATTCTGTTCTTTTGTGAATTGGTATGCATCTGTTGACTGACAGTCTTCTGCGACGATAGATGGGCGGCCACCCCGGCACAACACCTCAAGGCCACGAACTGCAATTCGGCACAAACCACGTCGGCCATGCTCTCTTCCTCAAGCTCCTCACACCAACAATGCTTTCCACTGCCGAAACCACGGGCTCAACACCACGTGTCATCTCCGTCAGCTCGAGAGGCCACGCTCATACCGCCGCCTTGCCAGACGGCGGCATCGCGTTCGACACCTTGAACTCCTCTCAGGCTGACTTATCAGGCGTGAACAAGTACACGCAATCCAAACTCGCCAACGTAGTCTACGCGCGCCAATACGCACTGCAATACCCACAGATCCTTTGTGTGGCGATTCACCCTGGTAATGTCTTGACGGAAATCTTCAACAAAGGCGCTGAAGGAGGTGATGAGCAGATCAAGTATCTGGCGAGGGAGGTGGCGCCTAAGAGATGTGGGTCGCTGGAGGAAGGGATTAAAAGTGGGGTTTGGGCGGCGACTGCGCAGGGCGTGCTGAGTGGGCGATATTATGAACCTGTGGGTGTGTTGGGCGTGGGAAGTGAGTTGTCCAAGGATACGAAGCTGGGAGAGAGACTGTGGGCTTGGACGCAGCGAGAGATGGAAGGGTGGGAGCTCTAGGCAGGAGGAAGTTGATGGGCCAGATGGAATGGTTTTGGTTTTGTATGAAATGACTTTAGCTGTATTGGCCCACTTCAGGTATAAGAATTTGTCTTCTTGTCGGTGTTATGTCTGGGTTTGGGATTGGCGTGAAAGGTAATGATTTCCGGGCTACCGTCGAGTCGCCGTCTTTTGCATGTGACGACGACTTCGTTCGTGAGGTCTCCTCTTGTCGTTGCTTCCACATCGTGGAACATGTTATGCTCCGGCATCAAAGACCAGCTATACGAATCTTCCAAATTGGGTATTTCTGAGAGAGAGAAGCCATCTCCAGCGTTATCCGCATAGTGAGTATTTTGCTCTTCAAGCTCCATAACCGTTTCCGCGATATTTGCTGCCGTGAAAGAATCCCACGTTCCTTCCTTCAGCGGGATCACCCGCAGGAGCCGAATAGCATGGAGGCGGATGCGATGGTATCGACACTTGATAGCCGTGTAATACAAAGGCGCGATAAAGCCGTATTCGCCAATCGAATTGTGGAGGTTGACGTTGTCGGGTATAGACTTTGCCAAGGAGTACTCTTCGAAGATGTGTATGGCATGCACAAGTATCGTGAGAAACGTTGGCGTATACGCTTCGTAGTGCTGCTGAGAGTGCACTTGCAGACAGCCGCACATTATGCGCGCCATGGCATGGTACATGAGTAGCAATTTGAGGACTGATGGTTCGCGGCCCGTTGGAAGCTTTGCTGGCGGTGTCTTCCCGCCGAACGCCCACAGTTCGTCTGGTTTCCTCCCAGCAGCTAGGGCTAGTTTGTCTACCGAGGGAAGTGTACTCAGATACGCATCGTACCACATCGCAAGAGAGGTCGCGATCTCTTCTTGTCCTGCTGTAACCGCAGCAATCTGGTCTTTAGTGCCTGGTCCCATCTTTCGATATGGTTGTGCTATGAGAATAATGCCGTGCAATAGCAAATCAAGAGCGTCCTTCGCCTCCTCGATAGTCGTAAAAGTAGGGTATGGTATGTTGTTTTCTATCGGCTGAAGAAAGATATCGAGATCTTCCAGACCGGAACCGAACAGATTATTTTGCATATGTAGGGTCGCGAAGCTGCGCACGATGCCTTGGTCGATGCTCTTTTCATATGATGCCGGCTTGATTACGAGGACGCCTTCGTGCGAGCGTTCTTTCTTCGTGGTCATGTTCATCAGGACCTTTAGACCGTTCCGTAAGTGTGATTCGGCCAATTGGTATTGCCCGCGGAGGTATTCAAGCAAGGTAAATAACTGACAGGTGACCAATATGATTGTGACTGAGGCTTTGTCTCCACATAGCAACAGCGGCTGTAGCGACTGGATTGCTTTGCCATATTGTTGAAGCATGAACTTCTCCCGCGCATCCGGAGCTTGTGCCGAATCGAAACTGCATCTATGCGCAGCGCTCAGCGCAACAGCAGCATGAAGAACCGCCGGTTCTGACGACGCTGCTGGTAGCACGATCGAGTTCCAGAACTTCGAAGCAAACCAACCGGAAGTTGTGTGAACGATGCGGATCCTGTATAACTGTAGATACCTGAGTTCCTCGACACCCAAGATTTTGGTTGGAGGTTTCTGGATCGATGTTGACACCAGGCCGTATCTTTCAACGTAGGTGTTCCCTCCGCCACCCCACAGTCCGTAGCCCTCGCATGTCCGACCAGTGGAGCGACAGCGAGAGCATACAGGCTTGGTTTCGTCGCACTTGACTCTTCGCGCTCTAGTCGATGTCGGTAAGCGTCCATAGGAACAGATCTCTACCCAGATCGCTGCAAAACAAACAGCCAATCGGTTGAGTACCGTGTCATTGAACAGGGGAGTCCACTTACTTGCAGGTTACGCACCCTGATTTAGACTTCCTCCGTACAACACCTCTTACAGGTTGGTACGCAGCTTTTGCAGTCACGTATTGATTCGAGGTGTTGGCTTCGGGTTGCATAGCGAGAGTGTTGTCCAGCTAGAGTGACGAACATGGAGACGTCGCTCCAACTCGATTTGCAAATATTCTTGGCGGCTCGAACAACATGTTTCAAAGAGAACGCAGGGAATGTTACGAGACAGTTCGGAGGGAGGAACGGACAGTCTGTCAGCCTTAGCTCGCTAAACTTCGGGAAGGTAGGCCGGACCCCTGCATACGTTACGCCCCTCTCATTGGTCCGCTCGGTACAGCCAGATCCTAATTGGCAATTGCTCAGGCCCACTGATGGTGGAGAAGAACCTCAACACCTGAGAACGCTTGACAGCTGTGTGCATTGTGTTGAGATCTAGCTAAATCTCGTCTCAATACCGGTGTGCCCGTAGGGTACTACATAACCATACACCGGCCCTTCGCCTGTTGTCTCTCCCGCTCCTTCTCGTCCATGAGTGCCACTAGGGCCTCTGCTCTCGCGGAGCCAAAGATCAAATTAAAGACGTCATGATCCGTTGTTTCCAATCCGCTCTCGACTTCGTAGGAATTTTTCCGGGCACCGTGTTGAATGAGTAGTTCGCAGCTCTGGTACCAAGCGCTCGTGAGAGCTGCTGAAGGCTTTATACGATCAACCAATTGAAAAGCTGACGGTGAGACAGTGTCGTCCATTGAAAGTAAAAAGAGGTGCCAAACTGACTTGCTGTCGTTCAGATGGACAGGCTGATTTGGATCTGCCCCGCGTTCGAGGAGTAGCCGAACCACTGCACAGGTGATGGTGCGAAATTAGTGTCTGTCTCATGCGCATTTTGTGCAGCCAAGACTTACTATCCAGATACACACTTGGATGGTCACGGCTGGAGTCGTATTTCATGTTCGTGTAGAGGTGTGTGATTCGGCGTGGACGGAGCGCGTAGTCCAGTAGTGGTCGCCCACACTTTCGCGCATTGTTTGGGTTGGCGTCTAACTTCGCACGAACGTACTTGACGAGGCCGGCTTGTACAGCCAGTGCAAGAAAGTTATAGCTGTCTCCTTCACGATACATATCATAACCACTATCGTTGACTGCACTGCGGGCATGCGTCCAGTGGTTTTCATTACCACGTGCGTGGTGAGTATTGACGCGATCCACCTCATCGAGAACCTCTACTAGGGTTGAGGTAGGGCTTGGGTCGGTTCTCTCGGTTTCGTAGGCGTAATAAAGTAGCTCGTCCGTTAAGCCCAGAACATCTTCGATCGACCTTGGATTACTGTAGTCGATATCCGGTAGTGATTTAAGCATGGAGAGGCATATTTTGCACAAGGTAGACTTGGAGCTAAACTCGGTCTTCAGATTCGCCCGTAGTTGGTGGTAGTAGTTGTCCTGCAAGAATTCGGCAACAGTTCGGTGGAGGAAGTCGACCGTAGGACCCGAGAAGCAGGGATGTCTACAGTGACACAGTTAGAAAATTACAAATAGGCGTTCGTTTGATTGAGAAGAGCCTGAAGCACTGCATGTATCTTCGTGCGACGGCTGTAAATGGCAATATCATAAGAATCGCTTTCCGGTCGTTTAGCACCTGAGTAGATGGCCAGGAGCTTCACTTACTCTTCATCATTAACAACGAGAAGATCGCTACATCGGTTCCGAATGAGCGACTTCCACTTGGGATACTCGCTTTTCAAATCGTCTTCGCGAATGGGCTGTATAGGGAGGTTGGTGGCATAGGCGGGGTTCTTGCGTTGGTGTTTCAGCAGAGAGAACGCGTATAACGGTAGCGGTTGCAGCTCATCGACCGTGATCAAGAAGATTTGTGACATCTCTTCAAGATACTGAGGCTTAATAGCCTTGACCATGCGCTCAAAGTACGTCTCTAGATCTGCTGGGAAGAGATTGACGATATTCCACAGCATGTCCACACCTTCATCTCGATCGACAGCGTGTACGAGGTCACGAGTAATGAGGAAGACCCATAACCATACGCCCTGCGCAAGGTCTGCAATCACCTTCGTTATTGATACGCACGTGGTATCGGCATCCGCCAGGCGTTGGAAGTTCTCATTCTCCCCGAGGAGACGCTGAACATGGCGTCCCATGTCTTCTTTGGTAAAACTCTTAATGTCGAACGTGCGAGATGTGTTGTTGAAAAACCTCTCGAACACCGAGCGAGGCCGTGTCGAGGCACAGATCTTGATGTCCTTTGATATAGAGAGAAATTTCAGGGCGCTGACAACATCTTCCTCAGCCCCGTTGTACTCGTCTAAGCCGTCGATAAAGAAGCAAAACTTGACTTCCAAATCTGTCTGGGTAGCGATGCGCCCGAACGTAGCTTTCAATTCTTCCACGTCCCACTCTTCGTGCTCCAGACGGTTTGGGCACACTATCTCAATGAGTCTGGGTACAGATTTGAGTATCTGGTACAGAAGCGACTGGAAGAGTCCTACTTGACTCTTTTGCATTTCATAGCCTTGATTCCAGAAGTAGTAACTCGCCGTGCAGAGTTTGGTCGTGCCTGCCCAGCCTGCAAGACATTCGAAAGTGCGAGGGTTTTCAGTCACGAACTTCATCAGAGTTGACTTGCCGCTGCCTGCCTACATTGGCCATGTTAGTGGAAGTTAAAATACTCAATAGATCTTCTTTACCCGGCCTGTAATGCAGAAAAGTCCATCATGTTCGTCGGTGCTTTCCAACCAAACTGTGAAGGAAGTCAATGATGTGTCAAAGATCCATGTGTTTGACGCTTTATCAGCTTTGGGAATTTGATTCCACCGCCTGCGCAGGACTGGGAAGTAGAGGCTTCGTATAGTGGCGGTTTGCTTGGTGCATGCCGTGTGCTCTTTGCCAAGTGCATCAAACTTCGTCTTCAGGCTAGTCAATTGCGCGACATGCGTGGCGCCTTCGCTCGTGCGAGTTTGTGCTACGAGTGTGAGTATTTCGTCTCGAATCTGATCCAGCTTGGCGTCATAGCTGATTGCTAAGGCATCTTGAGCTGTCTTCACGGCGTCTAGTTTGGCTGATAGCGAAGAGTGATGATCACTAAAAGACAAGTAAGTCAGCGTGGGTTCTGGCTAATAATTCGTTATCCATGTACAAGGAAGCCTCTGAACAGGTCTGCAGACTACATAGGATGAAGCAAGGAGATTGAAAGATACGGCGTGGATTCAGGCTCTAGGGTTTTCCAATTCCCCCTTCATTAAGGTGGATGTATGCAGCTCAAAACGCTATCATAATCTCCATTGACATACCTCCGGATAATGTGTTCAACATTCACCCGAATGCGCTTATCTAGCGCATCAAGCCTTGCTCGTAGAGCCTCGATGTCGCGTTGTTTCCAGAGACCTTGGAAAAGGACGCGACTACTTTCGAGGGTTTTCGAGCGACCTTGGCGCACATGTAGCCGGGCGATAATCTTGCGCAACTCTTCGGCTATGTCGCGGCATTGTTGGACCATGCCCAAAATGTGCTCTTCGTGTACGGACAGCTTTTGACCGGAAGTTTGCTGCTTCTTGACTCGCTCGTGATATATCTTAACGTCTTTCACGATGAGTTCAAGCTCTCGAACCTCCGCAGTCGTGCCGTGAACGGAACCGCGCACGTTTCGAGCTCCAGAAGCGAATTTGATGCCGAAGTCGATGAAAGATATGATATTAGATACCAGCCCGATTATAGCAAGTGCCTCGGCCATTCTCGAACCCAAAGGGAGCGTGAATCTCCTGCGGATCCGAGCTGATGAAGAGTGACGATGCTAGGGAGCTGAGCGACAACACAGCCCCACAGGGCTTACGGTCGCTGTTTTCCTATTGGATGAACCGCAGAGGACCCCATGGCTGAGCGCTTACCCCTGCGGAGTGTTTGGGGGCGGTAACAATGCCTTGCAGACAGCCTGCCATCGTCAGCTATCCGAACCGAGCCGAAAGCTCTCTTCGTCTTTTGGCAATACGGTCGTGACGGCCGTCAAGAAGGCACCCAAAGTGCGAATTGCATGCACTTCGACCATCACCAGAAGATTTGTTTGGAAAGTCGTTCGGCGAGGCTGCGAAACTGTAGCGTTATTAGTGTCCCGGAACTGTTCAGTAAAGTTGAAACACTTCAAAGCTCCACGACGCATCGATGGATACTGAGCGCTCACAGGCTGAAAACAGCCAGTCGGTCGACCATTGCACAGCTCATGATTATAGCAGGCTGATAATTGGTAGATGGAAACCTGCGCGTATATCTCCGCAAGAATCTGCATCTCAGCGCTCGTCATCCGATCTATCCTCCCACGACGTCTCAGCGGCCTGCCCCGGAAATGTAGAGGGCAACGACTTGAAACCGCTCGTCGGTTGGAACCTGAACAGCCAAACTTCAACGTGGCAGCGCGATAATGGCTGCATGCGAATGCTTGCTCGATTTATCCGCTGGCTTCCAGAGGCCCTACTCAAAATGGTCGAAGGCCTGGTGTCTGCTATCGCCAACATGATGAACACCGTCTTCGAGTGCATGCCATATCCTATCAGGGTAATGATTTGGTTTTGCTTACTCGCAACACTGGTTGTGAACGGAATCTTCCTTGGTATCGCGCTGAGTCGCAGGGAGTCTGCGTTTGTGCCATTTGTTGTTGAAGCTGCATCGATATCCGTGTGGGGGGTTCTCAATCGCAGTGTTATGGGAAGGACTTTCTCTCAGGATAGAGACAATGCAGTCTGATCGAGCGCGCTCACCTTGTTCCATCGCTGAATTGGCAAGGTAGATGTGGAGAGTAGGGATGTGTCCAGAATATTGCGCGAAGAGGCAGCGGGCGACGGGTTCCGCCGCCCCACTTTAATGACGGAGTTCAGTCAGAGAAGGAAAGCACAACCACGCAGACCAGCAGGGTGGAAGCAATGTAACATATCGTTGTAGTTCCAAAACTGGATATCGTGTTCGTTCGTCTATGGACTAGTCTATCATAAGCATCGCATTACCATGATCGTCATCACAGAGAAAACAGGAAGAAAAGTCGAACAGAGAAAACTTTCCCCTCGGCGCCAAACGTAGCCCTTTAGTATACCACGCCGACCAAATGCTTTTCACTTTGCCGTTACGCCTTCGCAGATGCCTCTCCGCTTAAGAAGCCTCCTCAACGCCGTCTGGCTTTTGTGCCTCGGCGTCCGTCATCTCCGCGTCTTTTGGCTCTTCCGCCGGCGGCGCCTCAGCCTGCTTCTTGGACTCGGCTTCCCGCTTTGCGCGCTCAAGCTCGGCTTGCTTGGCGGCATGCTCCTTTTGGTGCTTCTCCATGGCCGCTTGTCGCTCGCCCTCGATCTTGTCGTTGTAGCGTTGGATGATGGGACCGGCGATGGAGCGGATGTCCTCCTTCTTGGAGACGTACTGTGCCTTTGACGCGTCGTCACCCTCGTCGTATAACCATTCCTGTGTAGATGTCAGCGCAGTCCATGTATTGCATCGTTATTGGACTTACCTCGATGGTCTCGAGCTTTGTGTTGAGCTTAGCCTTCTCTTCGTCACTGGCGAACTCGGCGTAGACGTCGAGAATCTTGTCCTTGAGCTCGTAGATGAAGCTCTCGAGGTTGTTCTTCTCGTTCTCGGTGTCTTGAACGAGCTTGTCCTCCATGATCATGGAGTTCTCCTTCTCGGCCAGGGTCTGCTTGCTCTCTTCGTCAAGCGAAGCAGTTCCGGCTGATAGTGGCAGGTCACCCTTGCGCTGCTGCTTCTTGACCTTGCGCATCTTCGGTGGCTCCTTGGCGGCGTCCTTATCAACGTCCATTGCCTGCGCATAATTTGTTAGCTCATTTGTTACGTGCGCAGAAGCAGGACGCGCAAGTACAGGATCAGCGTCAGGCTTGTGTCGTTTCGCGGCAGGCTCGGGCGGGCTTTGCCGCCCGTTGCTAGGATCAGAAGGAAATTCGGAACGTACATCACCCTCTTTCTTCTCTGCTGACGGAGACTCGGGAATTGGCTCCTCGACTTCGGTTTCCTCGACGTAGTATCCAGACTCGACGTTGAGCACACCGTGCACGTTGAGGCGTGCCTTGAGTTTGCAAATCATGAAGTCACCCTTGGGGTCCTCCTTGACACCCTTGACGGAGAAGCGGCCGATCCAGGGGTTCATCTTTCCTGGCAGTTGCTCGGGCTTGGCGTACCTGGCCTCGAGGTCGAATGGGTGTTTCCGGTAGAATGTGAGGATCTTGGTTGATGGCATGACGTTGCCCTTGTTGAAGACGGTCAGGTTGGTGTCCTCATCCGGAATGTCCTCTGACTTCTCCCATGTGAATTCAACGGGGTAGTTGACCATGTCGTGGACGGAGAAGTCACGGACACGGAATACTGGAGAGAGGATGGCGCAGCAGAAAGCGCAGCCACGAGCGACAGCCTCGTCCTGGTTGAGGGTGAAGGAGAGCGGCTTGCCGAAGTAGTCCTGGATCTTGGCCTTGAGGACGGGTACACGTGTGCAGCCACCAACCATCTCGATGGCGTCGATGTCGGCAGTGGTGAGCTTGGCCTCGGCGAGAGCCTGCTCGATAGGGGCGGTAGCACGGTCGATGAGGGGCTTGATCAGCTCCTCAAGCTCCTCGCGCTTGAGCATACCGCGGACATCGACGTCGTTCATGATGGACTCGACGTTGATGGGGGCCTGGTTGTTTGCGGAAAGGACCTTCTTGAGCTTCTCGACACCCGCGGACAGACGGAGGCGTGCCTTGCCGTTCTCCATGACGTCGATCTTGTACTTCTCCTTGAACTCCTTGGCGAAGTGCTCGACAAGGGCCTTGTCGATGTAGCGGCCTCCGTAGTGACGGTCCCAGGCGCTCGACTTGACGGCGAGCTCACCCTTCTTGAACTCAACGACGGTAGCGGTGTAGTTGCTGTGGCCGATGTTGACGAAGACGACTCTCCGTGGCTTCTCCTCGGGCGCTGGGAGGTCCAGCTTTGTGATGCCCCAGCCGAGGGCGACTGCGGTGTTGTCGTTGATGAGCCTCAGGCACTTGAGGCCGGCGATGTCGGCGGCGTCGAGGATGGCGCGGCGCTGGGCGTCGGTGTACCAGACGGGGCAGCTGAGGACGACGTCGTTGACGGGGAGTTTGAGTTCGGCAGATGCTGTGGCGCGCATCTTGGTGAGGAACATGGCGGTGATCTGGGTGGCAGTGAACTGCTCCTTCTTGCCCAGATATGTCACCTCAGCGCCGACCTGGCCGCCCATGTCGATGAGCGGCGCGGATATGAAGTCTTGCTCGACCTGGACATCGGGGTCTGTGAGGTTGCGGCCGGCGAGGCGGACGAAGGAGGAGACGGTGTTCTTGAGGTTGGAGATTTCCTGGTTCTTGGCCGTCTCGCCGACGTATCTGCTCTTGGGGCCGAAGCCTACTAGCGATCTGGGAAATTGTGAGTGGATGCTCGTTGTGTGCGCTGCGTGCGCTGGGGGTCTACTTACGGTGTCGCGCGGTTGGAAACCTCATTTGCAATCTACTGGCGTCAGTATTTTGGTATGCCGTATGCGACCGGGGCTACTCACCACATCGACACCGCGATTCCGCGCAACAGCAATGACGCTGTTGAGCGTTCCCAAATCAACACCTACTACAGACATGTTTATCTCTGATGGCGGGGTATGTGTGGGCAAACGTGGAGGGAGTGTGTGCGGTGAAAGTCGTGTTTGGGGGGTCGTGTAAAAGATAGACAGACACGGGTTCGCAAATTTCAAGTGACCGCTGCGTGATGACTTGCTGGCAATACGTCGAAGAAAAGAGAACCTTCTCGACAGGCCCTGTTTTAGCGGGGTCACTAAAGAAAGTGTTGCGGAAGGCACGGACCACGCAAATCGTCCAACAACACGCTGCGTCATATCCGCTCGCACTCGCTCCTGCCGTCTCCGCCGACGCGTCTCGATGCCGCCAGCGTCTTCCAACGCAACCCCCATGGACGCCTGCACGCCCGCCTCTGAGCACCTGCACGCGTCGACTCTCTGCGCGATAAGATAGCTGACATCAGCATGGCCCAAATCCCCCCGTACCCACTCTACAACCGCACGTACAACCTGTACCGCCTGTCCCCGCTCCACTGCCACGGCACGCCCCTCCTAGTCGACGCCTCACTTCGCACCCATGCCAAGCGCCTCAAGGAACAGCTCAAAGGCGACAGCGTGCGCGGCGTGCAGGTCGACTTTGCCGCTGCCGACGACACCGCGAAACTGGGCCCCCTGGACGAGTGCACCTGGGAGCTGATTGGCGACGAGGATGCCTGGATTGACCGACATCGCCAGTCGATGGACCCCGATGCCTCACAGCTGTCCTCCGTCTCCCAGCTCACTCCAGAGCGGGCGCGTGGGCTGGAAGTGAGCCTCGAGTACGAGAAGCAGTCGTACAATGCGCTCCTGCTGCGCGACCCGGGCGTCACTTCCTCGCAAAAGGGCTTCACGTCACTGCCCCTGCTACTCGTGAAGATGCCAGGCCCAATACGCGACATCTTCCTCAACTACCTCCGAACGACCTTCGATGCCCACGTTGCGCCCTTGAAGCTGCCCTCGCCCTTCATCACCTCGAGTCTCGAGACCTACTTCAAGCACCTCGCTGCGAGGTACTCGACCCAGTCCATACAAGACATTATAAGACAGCTGCATATTCAATTGGCGTTCCCCAATACCACAACTATCCTCAAACACGTAGAGATCACAGTCGCAGGCGGCGACATCTCTGGTTTCGTCGACAGGGGCAGACTGCTCAAGGACACCCACGACAAGCCCTTTACAGCTGCCCTGGCCGCGTATCTCCGGCAGCATCTCGCCCTCGACATATCGCACCCCAAAGTCCAGACATCCCGAATAACCTGCAACAGCTTCCACCTCGGCACCGAGCGTCTCAAACTCGTCGCACCCGATCCGCTGGCGGACACGTCCTTCTCCGACGAAGGCGGCGCATCACAAGACGCAAGTGCGAGCGAACTCGCTGTACAGGAGCTCTATACGTCTTTAGTTCGAGAGGCTGCTGGCAGCGGGAAGTTTCTGCCGGAGGAATTGACCAGCGAACCGAGAGAAGAGACGCCGTCCTCCATCGCAAGCGCTAAAGCGGGGCGCAGGAAGAGAGCCATCAGCAGCACTGCTGTAACCGATGGTAACAATAAGAAGACCAAAGGCAGAGGGAAAGAGAACAACCGGAAGCTCAATGGCAATGCCGGCATGGCCGATATGTAGGCACACCCAATCTTGGGTAGCAGTACATTTTTCAAAGCGCGTTGAATGTTTCCTGAGATACCCATTATCGATTTCTAGCAACGAAACCATTGCATCTCACTTCATCTTCTTCACGCTTCAAGTCGACACGTGTCACACCTCAATGCCACGTCTCTCTCACTGCGATGTCGCCACCAGATTACGATCGGCTACATCAAGCCTCACACTGTCAAACTTCTGTCCGTCCACTTCCAATACCTTCACTTCCGCTACATTACAATGAAAGTTTTTCCCATGATACTCGTCCGCGAGTTCGACGGACGAGATACTAGCTACCGTGTTGCAGCTCGTCGAGCTCGCAACTACTGGGTACGTCGACTGAGCTACTATTCCAGCATGCGTCGCATCTCACTTTCATATATGCCTTCGACTTAGTTACTTGATCATAGCCATAACACACCAATCACATGCTAAAGCCTGCAGGAACTCCTCGCAAACGTACACAACATCTTCATCAAGCCGTGGGAACGCTACAACGCTCATCTTCATTTCGACGGTCATGCTTGCGACGACCGGATAAGCCCCAGCGAATGGGATGCTGGAGGCTACTTCGATCCCGAATTTGTAGTGGACGGCAGACTGGTACTATATGTACACTTCGAACAGGTGGAACCACCACCAGAATCTAGCAAGGATGCACACAATCCTTTTGAGACGGAGGAAGAGGATAAGCTATGGTACCGGGGAACATATGGCGATCAGGGACTTCGAACGAAGGTAAAATCGTTAGGCGCTTATTGAGAACTTGGTTGACACGATGCAGAGAAAGTTCACGGACGACATCGAAGATTACCTTGAAGAATCGAAGAAAGATTCGTCTAAGCCCTTTCCAAAGGGACTGCCACACAACCCTTTCAATACAGAACCGGTTCTCAAGTCAATCTATACACTCAAGAGCACACTCGCGTTACCGGTTGCTGCCAATGAGGTGGTGACCGTAGATGACTCGAGCAGCAGTCATCACCTCGACACTGGCGTCGTGATTGGGCGCGCCCTCCCACAAAGCTGTCTCGACCCTAATGTTCGCCCTGTCGTTCGCGCCGTAATCAGCAAAGTCGGCGCTGTAGTCGCTTACATTCCCGCGAAATACTCAAAACGGAGCGCAATCAAAGGAGATATACAGATCGCGATGACGCACGTGGAATATACACCCGAGCTGGTGAAGTTTACCTTCGGCGAAGAGAGAACGCGAGCCATAAAAGCTATGATCGAAGAGCGAAATGCACCTCACAACACGAGTACACCTCCAGATTCTGGTTTCTCTACCGCGAGTCCGTCACCACCGATCGTCCTTGAAGCTACCGCATCTGAGGTGTCATTTATCATCATCGATGATACAAAGCATCCAGGCCTGCGCAAAGAAGGAGTCGTCATCGGCCATGCGAAGGAACACTGGTGTCTTACACCACACAAACGTCCTGCTGTTCGTGCAATGCTGAATAAGAAGAACAACGTCATCGCGTATATTCCCGCAAGACACACTGGACATACAGACAGGAACGGTGAGATACAGATTCCATTAAAGGACGTAAATCTCTCGAAGTCGCTCGTAGCGTTACCGCTGTGGAAGCTCTCTGACGCGATCAGAGCGATGACCAGGACAAAGAGGGAGACAAACGAGAAGTCTGTGGTGCATGGGTCAGGTGATCAAGAGGGAGGCATGATGAGAAGGAGGAGAGCAGCAGAGACCAAGCCAGCTATCGGGACTGCCGCGAACGATGACGAAACAGACTCTTTTTCAGATTCTACAGACGTTCCCGAAGGCGGTGCTCAACACTGAGCGAAAGCCGCTTGACCGCATTTGGGCGCTGGGTATATACAAAAGTCCTTCATTGCTAGGTACACAATCAAGTCACGAGCTTCTGATGTCATTCTACCCCCTCTCTTTCCCGTTTGTCGTTGCCTTTGCGTCCGTGTGACTCCACTAGCAATCGCTACGCGCACACAATAAATATATCTCAAAGAGACTCTAACTGCCCGCGATATCTCTCCTTCGTCACTCAGCTTCTTATATATCCTCACACGCCTTCAATTTCCTACCCCAATACTCACCACCGCGATTCGAGATGTCGACTACCAGCGTTACCTTGATCGAAGTCAGAGACTTCGCAATTGGTCCTGACTTGTACCGCCGACGCGCATCTGATCTGAGTGACTGGGACGACCTCATCGAGTATACGTTCAACGCCTTCAACCGCGATGAACGCTACTTCAGACTGCACTTCCATTTCTCTCGGGAAACACATTGTGTGGAGGACGAACTGTTGACGAAGGAGGACTGGAATGACGGTATCTATTTCGTCGGCGCCAACAGACTATTCTATGCCCATTTCGTCACGAGGGCTCGACATGAACCTCGAGGTTACTACCGGAGGAGGGCGCCTTCACCATCTCCAGTCAGCCCCACACCTGAGCCTGGGTCGCCGGTGGTACCTTGGACTATGCCGCCGCTGCCGCCCATGAACGAACAAGGTGTTTATGAGTACCCTCCGACCATTGATCCACCAGCTCCATCTGGTCCTACACCTACACGTCGTCCAGCGACACGTCCCGGAGGTGGACCTCGACGTGGACTTGCACGTGGACGCGGACGCGGACGTGGACGCGCACCACAACCCGCTCAACGTCCACCACTTCGGCCAGTACCACCACCAGCTCAACCTGTCCCAGCCGTTCTTCGACCGGCCTCTCAGCGACCAAACACCAACGCAACCAATGTATACACCGTTGGTCCACCAATACCGGCTGATCGATACCCAAACTCAAGGTACTTCTCCTCACCTTTCACCTTCATCCCCTTGCAACCTGCTCCACCTCGGCCACGAACACATGCTCAACAGTACAGGGCCCCTCTTCCAAGCTCAGACGCACCGGCAGCTAGACCCGCGGCTGCGACATCAGCTTCGGCAGTACCTGTTCGCGCTCCTGTCGCCCCGATGTTGCCTCCTCGACCAGCTGTTCGCCAACCGGCTGGCGGATCTACGTCTCGTCTGCGGACTACAGGCAATTCAAGCGGCCAGCCAATTGAGATATCGTCCGCATCGTCATCGTCAAGCTATGAATCTAGCATGGATATAGATTCCAATCAGCATCCGGGTACCCATCAGCCCACCGCACCCCTTCCGCCGCCGCCGCAAAGTGAAGACTACAACATGGAACTCGCCGACGATCCCATATCCGACTCCGACGCGCAGAATACACCCCTCCCCGCACCAACATTCGATGAGTACGCGGACCTCCAGTACCCCGTCGTCCGGCCTTCACCAGGACCACGATATGAAGGCCAAACCGACGATGAGGAAGAGGATCTTACCCTCCAATCACCACTATACCCAATTCCAGAATTCGAAGAGAGGCCAGACGATGAATATGAAGATCTCACCCTCCAATCACCACTCTACCCAGATCCGCAGTTTGAGCAACCACCAGACGAGGAAGAGGAAGAGGATCTCACCCTCCAATCCCCACTCTACTCCAACTCAGAGTTCGACCACCCACCAAACGACCAAGTCGAAGACGAGCAAATGTCCGTCGCCCCCACATCACCAGGCTCAGGCGGCCTCTTCGTGCGCGATGAGACAGAAGCACAGAACTTCGAGGCGGCGTTGGCGTGGGAGGACGATGGTACACAGCAGTCCGTCGTGGAGTCTGAGCTCGGACAAGAAGAGGAGAGGCCGGACAGTGAAGGGGAGGATGCGATGACATTTATTGCGTCTCCTTCTGCTGCGCCCTCGTCGGCTGTACCTACTTCGGCGGGTACGGGTATGTTCGTGTCGGACGGGAGTGAGACGAGGGGCTTTGCGGGGGCTTTGGAGTGGGAAGAGGAAGAAGATGATGATGATGATGATGACGACGATGAGGAGATGGAGGATGAAGGGGAGGGTGGTGTGGAGGTTAGGAGGCGGTAGAGGGTTGAAGAGATTACGTTTGGGTTTCAAGAAGACGGTTGAGGACTACAAAAGACGTTTGCTTGTACATTTAGCATAATACACCGGGGGTTGAGGACTTCACTGGCTTCTTGTGTCTATCTTTGTTCTTGTGTGTTGAGTTGACGACCTCCGCGGTGATGCGAGTCGGCTACTACGAGTTAGTTAGCACCTATGTGTTCTTCACTGGGATGTTACTTTGTCGCAGTTTCACCGCATTTACTGCACAGGAAAGAAGACATATCGCCCTTTTCATAAGAAGAAGATGCATTCATTCAGGTCATAGAGACGTCGAGGATACGTAATAGGGAATCATAATGAAAAAACAATCGACCCAAACGATACACCAATGCGACTCGTCCAATCGCCCAGCGACAGAAGCCGGCCACATCCCATGGCCACCTCTTCCTACCACCATGTATCCACCTCAAGTATACACACTCTCAGTAAAAGAGTTAACCTGCAGCCCCCTCTCAGCCATATCCGCATTCTCCAAAAACTTCAACTGCATCCACACCAAATGCCCCTTGACACGGTCCAACTCCGCTCTAATCTCCTTAACAGGCCTAACCATGTCATACAAATGACCCTGCTTGTGTTCCTTGTCCCCAGACGGGTTGGGCGTAAACTTGTCGTAGTCCTCAAACGTGAGGATGTTGTCGTCAGGATCGGCGTGGAACAACGATCTAAACACCTCGGTGTTGGTAGTCGCGCGCTCGGTCCATTCGTCCCAGAGTTTGGATGACAGAGGGTCAGAGACAAAGTCTGCTTCGGCGCCGGGCATGGGGTCGTTTGGTGAGTTTTCGCCGGGGGGTTGCGCGTTGGGGTCGTCGGCGGCGTTGAGGGATTGGGGCGGGAGGAGACCGAGATGTTCGCGCCATAAGCTGCTGCGGAGTTCGTGGGCGAGTTTTGCGGCTTTGTAGGGCTTGCCGTCCATTTCGGTGTCGATTTCTGCGGTGTCTTGTAGGACGATGGAGAGTTCGGAATCGTGGAAGCCCAATTGGGAGCGGTCGTTGATGTTGGAGGATCCGCAGATTACGGTTTTGTCGTCGACGATGCAGATTTTGGCGTGGATGTAAAGCTCCTCTTGGAAGAAGTGCTCTTTCTCCTCTTCTTCTTCGCCTTCCCAGGCTTCCTCGCTGGGCTTCTTTTCCGTAAGCATCGCGTCGTCGGCAATCGAGTCTGGGTCAATAACACCGCCCTGATCGCCTTTGCCCACATCTTCCTCCTCATCCATGTACGCTTTCCTCATCTCAGCGGCTTTGCGTCGTGCCTCGTCACCTCCCTCTTCTGGTGGTGCTTCCAGCTCGTCAATCTCAGCTGCTTCCAGATCCATGTACGACTTCCCAGACTTCTTCTCGCGCTCCTTGAGCGTGGGGGTGACATTGATACGGTCGTATGAACGAAGATTGAAGAAGAAAATGTACTTTTCTGGATCGACACCAGCCTTTTTGATCTGTCCGTATATGCTTTCTTCTCCTCGGCAGATACTCTTGAATTGATAGTCCATGATCGCTCGTGTTCCAGCAGCGGCCTGATCTCGAAGATCTCCCGCGAATCCCGGAATTGCTGGAATGACAATGACAATTTTGAAGTTGCGCTGCTCCTTAGCTGCCGAAACGATGGCGTCAACCATTGCAGCTCCGATCTGGTTGTGGACAGGGCTCTGGTCGCGTTTACCCGTTGCCGTGATGAAAAATTGATTCTCAATGTAGACGTAGTGCTGCGCGTTACGGATGACCTCGCAGTATGCGTTCTGGATACTCTGCTCATGAGGATCAATGCCCATACTCCAGTCGCCGCTACTCCTGACTAATTGCGCATGTACAGTTCCACGATTGTCGAGGTTCTTGCTGTTCAGCTGCGTGAGGGGATGATGTACATATTGGCCAACAGGGAACTTGGGCCGTTGCACTCCGATCAGATCTTCGTCGGCGCCTTCACGTCCTTCCATGGTGAGCCAATCGTATCTCTCGTCACGCTTGTACTTTTCTCGCTTCACGAAGTTCCATCGCAAGACGAAATGCTCAGCGATGTCGTAAACCGCCGGGCCAATGACACCCATTGCGACATCGTGCCATGGCATGCGACCGAACTCCAGTTTGTTCAGCTTGTTCGATTTCCAGTCGTCAACACTCTCAAAATCCATGATACGGTTATTGTTGTAATCCTGACCCGGGAAGATTTGGTTTTGAACACCAGACGGGTGGGCATCGGCAAGCGGGTGCTGCTTGTCGTCCCATCGGCCGTAACACAAGTCCAGTCCACCGATGAAGGCCATGGCATAGTCGATGACGATGAACTTCTCGTGATGCGCCCAGTAGAATGTCATGTCTGAAGCATTCTCGAAAACGTTGTGGTCAGGATGTCTCATCACCTTGATGTTTCCGTACCCAGGTTCGCCTTCTTCAAACAGGCCCATGAGTGCCTTCTTGGTGTGCTGGCTGTTGCACGTAAGAGCCGCAGAAACCTGAGTAAGTATAAGCTGCTGTTTATTTGACGCAGATTGATGACCTCACCTCCTTGTACACGGAAACATAGATTTTCACACCAGCCGCTGCACGGCGCTTGAGTACTTGGTCCAGTCGAAATTGCTGGTTGTAGTAGGGTGGTCGCTTCAGGAAGAGCTCGGGGCTGAGCCACCAGTCCGCAATGTAGATGGTCTCTTTGGCTTGCTCCAATGCCTCGGCAACGGCCCAGAAGTAATCCCTACCATCGACATACCACTTCACCAAGTTGTTGTCGCGCTCTGGTGCAAAGCTATGGAAGCGGTGGTTCTCCGCGATCTTGCTCCTCTTGGCGTCCGTCTCCTTCTCATGCTCCTCGTCGTGGCGATGGTTGGCATTGAATAGGTTGGTGAACTTGCCGACCTTATGCTTGATGTGCACAGCCTTAATATGCGCACCTCGTAACTTGGTGTGCTCGAGCTTTTGCTCAATCTCCTCAATCTTCTCAGAAGCGCGATGATTGAAGGGGTGGAAGAGCTTCTTGAGGCCCTTCTCTTGGGAAGGCATATTGGCGACCGTGCGCAGCGATCAGCAATCGCGCGGGGTAGCGATGATAGAGATGGTGAGGCTGGAGATGGAGGCTGAGGAGTGAGGCGTAGGCGACGGAGAGGCGATCGGTCGCGTGCACTGGTCTTGTACTGACCCACAAGGATGGAATAACCTGTATTCACTGTGCTGCACTTGGCAGGTAAATAGGCATGGCGCGATCTCAGCCGCCGGAGGGACCGATTGGTGACGTCATTGGCGGCTAGCCTTTCCGAGCAATAGCGATCATGCACCTCCCTCAAGCGTCCATCGCGGCTGAGGCTGCAATCAGCCCGGGGGCTGGGAATAACAACCCGAAAGCGATCCAGCACTGGGTTCCTGATGCCACTACCATAGCACTACAAGAAGCTTGTCTCTTCGGTAAAACCAATTGATCAGATTCAGCATGCGCGACATCATGACCATGGGAGTTATTTTTACCCCGCGTAGTCGGCCCTCCGGCTGCTTCATCCCACCACTTCCGAAACTAAGCGCGTCCGCGCGGCAGAAAAGACTAGTATGCAGCGCATCAGCCGAGAGAAAAGTCTGATGAACTGGGGGCTTTGACAAAGAGGAACGAGTAGGTTCAAGTGCGTCTTCAAGACATTGTGAGATGGATCCCATGAGCTACCCATGGCGCTACAAGTCACGCTATCTGGAAACTGGAGACGCAATAATACCTAGGTACTACAAACAAGTATTTACGATGAAGAGTCAGAACTATGTCCATAGCCCTGATCCAACAGTAACCTCATCAGTTCGCCGAAAGCCTCCGGCAAATGATATCCTACATCAACAGCCGTCAAACATTGCTTCTAGTACATACCGAGTCATAAACGTCGTTAGTCGTAAATCATCAATCCTAGGATGACCATCCCAAAGACCACTACGAAGACGCCGCGCTCCAAGAACTCATGAATGGGAGATGAATAGGCGGTGGTTGTAGCAGAATGGCAGTCGATCAAGCAACAACAACGACCGGCCAGCCGTCTTCCCAATCAAGATAGTTATATCCAAAGAAGAACTGATCAGCTGCGTAGCCAACGCTGGGACGAACTGCATCAACGTCAGCTTGGTCTCAACTTATCGTTACCAGTCTTTCACTTACCATAGTGATAGTACAACACGGTCCTCCCATTCTCAGGGTTGACCATAACGCCCTGTCCACCAGGTGCATAGATATCGCCGTGGCTAGCAAGGATAGTCGTACCACCGTTCTCCTCGAGACAACTCTTTCCTTCCTGATCATAGAAAGGCCCAGTAGGAACTTCCGAGCGGCATACAACAACGTGGTATACCTGACCCTCAGGAGCAAGACCTCCTGGAGTTTCTGGCGTATTGCAACACATACCCACGCTGTAGAACATGTAGTAAAAGTCCTTCTCTTTCCACATGATAGCGCCCTCAGCGACAGTAGCCCCGTAAGTACTATTCCGCACCATGTTGTTGATACGGTTATTTTGCTCGGCCCACCCGCCAAAAGCCATGAGGTCATCATATGGGAAAAGCTCGACCTGGAAGATGTCGTCCCAGAAGGAGCCGAAGGTGAAGTAGATGGGGTCTTTGGGCGTCTCTTGGAAGACAAAGGGGTCGATGAGGTTGTACTTGTCGGATAGGGGGAGGCCGATGTCGCCGTGGTCTTGCCAGCTACCCGGCTGGAGGGACTGCGATGTTGCGACGCCGATGGAGGAGTTTTGGAGACCGATTCGGGAGACGGAGTAGTGGCAGTAGAAGGTGTCGCCTCGCTTCATTACTGAAGGCGCCTGTTGTGTTGGTTAGGATGGTGTGTGGCTGATTAAGGTCTAGTAGAGGGATGATGAACTCACCCAGATGTCTTGATCCGGATGGACCTGGATGCTGGTACCGTTTTGTAACAACGCGCCTTCATATTCCCATGGTCCTCCCAGGGATGGCGCACTAGCAATGGCAATGTTGCCGCTAGTCGAGAAA